TGCTGCCGGGGGCAGAGGAGTCAGCGCGCTGCTGCTGCGGGGGGATCGGGGCTCCCGGCTCTGCCCTTTAAGCACCGTCTCCAGCTGATAATAAAGCAACCCAGGCTCCTGCTCTAGCCCAAGCTGAGGAGCTGCTGGCAAAGTGACGTGGGGCTGACGCAGAGAGGGGCAGAAACTCCACAAAATGAGCCTGGAATTAAAAAAAAAAAAAAAAAGACAAAAGCAAGCAGGGGCGAGGGAGGGCTGGAGGGAGGGTGCCGAGAAGGAGATGCCACCGTCTCCAGCTGATAATAAAGCAACCCAGGCTCCTGCTCTAGCCCAAGCTGAGGAGCTGCTGGCAAAGTGACGTGGGGCTGACGCAGAGAGGGGCAGAAACTCCACAAAATGAGCCTGGAATTAAAAAAAAAAAAAAAAAGACAAAAGCAAGCAGGGGCGAGGGAGGGCTGGAGGGAGGGTGCCGAGAAGGAGATGCCAATAGGCAGCCAGGAGCCTACACACATACAAACAATCACACACGCACAAGAGAGAGGTGAACCATCAGCATGGGCCCTCCTCTGGACCCTCCGTCTTCTCCGTGTAGGAAACCAAAGCTTCCTTCTCCAACCCCAGACACGCATCTTTCCCATCCCCAGAAAGACACAGACGTGATGTGCATGGGAAAGGGAGCGCGTTTCGCCACAACCTAAGGCAGCCGGTTGCGTGTGGCTTGTTTTAATATGAACATCATGGCTTTCTGCATAGATCTCTCTGTACGGGCTTTCTGTGCCCGGCTCACTGACATACCTAGTGACATGCCCCTTCTCGACTGCTCAGCTGGCTGGTTTCTTCCCTTGCTTTTTTTGGATGCAGTTATCCCGGCCCGGTGTCTCGGACCTTCCGTGCGCTTACATTGCGTAATAGTGACTGGAGACATACACCGCTTTTGCCACGAGCCCTTTAATCCTCGGCGGGGATCACTATTAGGCTAATTCGCCTTATAGATTTGCACGCCTCCGCTGGGGCATATAATACACAAACATATGCGAAGAGAAAAACGGTTATTGAAAAGAATATGATCTTTCATGCTCGCATAATAAAATGCAATCGCTTTAAGAACTCAGGTATGTGATGAATGAGCGACATTAAAATGCCTTGTCTGGGAATTTGCCTTTTCATTAGTGGCTCTATAGGATTTTTTTTTCCGCAGTAATTTGAAAGAAACAGGAAAATCCACCGCAGTGCTTCAGACTTCAGGGAGCACTGGCGCCACCGCGTGTTTACAACCTGAACACCACCACAAGCAAAAGAGAATGCGCCAGCAGGCAGTGTATGCAGTACACTGCCCATCTTACCGTGTACATCCTTTCCTCCTTCTTCTGGGCTGCACTACTCAAGGAAATCCACCGTAATTGTGATGGTCTTAGAGGGAATTCAGAATTGTGCTATCTGTTGTATTAGTGTTTTACTCTAATGCCAAAAGGGAAATGGGAATTAGATGTAAATTAGATCTTTTCTAATTTACGTGAGCAAATTGATGTGTGGACACAAATTAGATCTCCTACAGGTAAATAAGCATGTAACAGGTGTGCACACCACTATCTGATTTGCACATATAAACTAAGTGAAATAGCACACACCTACTTTCAATATCTGGTTCAATATGACTAATCTTGTTGCCTTGTCTTCTTCATCACAGATCGCCTTTGACCAAGCTCCATTGAACAACAGTGGAAAACACCAGTGCATTCACTGCATCACCTTTAATTAAATTTCTTCTAAGTAGGCCTCCAAGCAGTTTGGTCTAGAAATGGTAGCTTTTACAAAGCTTGCGTTGAAGGCTCTATCTCATCTTAATTTTATATTAACCAACTGAGGATTTTTATATAATTAGTTCAGAACTTCACTGTAGAATTAAAAAGGCAGATAGGTTGAAGTGATGTTCTAGAAGTGTGTATCAAGCGGTGATCACAATGTTTTGAAAGCACTCAGGTGTTACCTTAACATAGCACTTTTACTAATTGCATGAGCACTCAACTCTTGTGTAAGTCTGCTCAGGCTTCAAAAAACATTGAATTCTCACTGGGCACTCGAAGATTTGGCACTTCCAGACAAAATCCCTATTATCTTATAAGCATAGCCACAGCCATCCTAGTAATATTATACCTCTCTTCTAATGGAATGACTGAAGATAAGAAACATAGGCATACAGTGGAATCCGGATTATCCGACACCTGGTAATCCGACACTCCGCTTTATCTGACCCTGCAGCTTTGTCCCCAGAAGCTTCAGGGTCGGATACAGTCCGGACTGGGAGAACGGCCCCGCTTGCTGCCCTGTCACTCTCTTTGAGCAGCTGCTGCAGCTCCTGCCAGAGACAACGAGGCAGGAGCGCATCAGCTGTCCTGTTGCTCTCTAGGAGCAGCTGATGCGGCTCCCGCCCGGGAAGAAGCGCCCCGGCAGGAGCCGCATCAGGTGCTCCTAGAGCAACAGGGCTCTACAGTAGAGTCCCTATCATCCAACATATTCAGTAATCCAACCATATGTCGGTCCCATTTAGGTTGGATGATAAGGACTCTACTGTATTTGGAAATATTGCCAACAATGTCTTTGGGTTAAATTAAATATATTTTGCATGTGCGTAAATGTTATTAAATTGTTATCCAGATATAAATCTACTATCAAGAGTACATTCCCCTTCTTTCCTATGTCATGGCAAAATGCATGCAGCCAAACAGCATCATAAAAGAAGCAGGATACCTGTCAGGGAGCCATGCCAGTAAATCTTGACTGCTACAGTAATTATCTTTAAAAGGGGAAACAGTCATCCTAACTTCAAACCAATCTAATTTCATTATTTGAGAGAGTTACTGGTCAAGTGGATGGATAGAGGGGAAGATGTAGATGCAATATATCTTGATTTGGATTTTGACAAAGGGCCCCACAACAGTCTCATAAGCAAACTAGGGAACTATGGTCTAGATTAAAGTACTATATAGTAGATACATAGCTGGTTGACAGACCATACTTTAAAAGCAGTTATCAGTAATTCACTGTCACATTGGGAGGATGTATCCAATGGGGGGTCTCAGACATCGGTCTGGGATAATACAACACTATTCAATATTTTAATTAATAATTTGGATACTGGAGTGGGGAATATGCTTATAACATTTTCAGATGACACCAAGCAGGGAGAGGTCATAAACAAGAGGGTTCAAATGACTTTGACATGGGAGAATTGGTCTGAAATCAGTAAGATGTAATTCAATAAATACAACTGCAAAATCCTTCACTAAGGAAAGAAAAATCAAATGAAGAAATTCAAAATGGGGAATAATTGGTAAGATGGTCATACAAAGAAAAGGATGCAGGAGTTATAGTAGGTTACAAATTGCGTATCATCATCAATGTGATGCAGTTTAAAAAGGGTAATATTCTGACATGTATTAACAGGAATGTTGTATATAAAACATGAAAGGTAATTGTCCCACTCTACTCAGCACTGATGAGGCAGAAGCTGGAATACCACGTCCAATTCTAGATGCCACATATCTAAGTAAGATGTGGACAAACTGGAGAGAGTCTAGAGGAGATCAACAGAAATGTTAAGATTTAGAAAACCTGACTTAGAAGGAAATGTTAAAACAAGTGGGCATGGTAAGTCTTGCTAAAAGAAGATGGTGGAGGGTGGAGGGCACTGGTAATAGTCTTCTTATATATATATGTGTGTGTGTGTGTTAAAGGCTGTTAGAAAGCGAAGTATGATACATTGTTCCCCATGTCCACTCAAGGTAGCATAAGAAGTAATGAGTTTATTCTGCAGCAAGGGAGATTGAGGTTAGATGCTAGGAGCAATAACCTCCAACTATAAGGGTAGTTAAGCACTGGAATGGGTTTCTATCATTTGAGGTTTTTAAGAACAAGTGGGGCAATCACTTGTCAGGATTAGTGTATCTTTCTTTAGTCTGGCCATAGCGTAGAGGACTGGACTTGATGACTCAAGCCAGCAGTGGATATAGAGCAGGGCGAGTGGGGCGGCTGCCCTGGGTCCTGCGCTTCAATAGGCCCTGTGCACATGCCCCATGCACGCTACTTCCGGTTGGCTGCTGCAGAGGCGCATGCACGAAATTGTGCCACCTCAAGCCCCGCGGCGCTGCCCTGGGCCTCGCAAAATTATCACCCTGACTCAAGCTCCCTCCAAGCCCTACGTTTCTAGGATTCCTCTGCTTAGTGACAATTATCTTGGTACTACAGGACTAAGAATGTTAAGAAGCGGGTATTTGACTTAATCGTGTAGTGGATACAATTTGTATCCACTACACAATTTGTTGATAAGGGGCCCTGTTGAGGCTCTGCAGTTTAAATGTAGTAGGAGCCCTGCACACAGGCATCCTGGCTCCTACTACATTTAAACTGCAGAGTCACAGCAGGGGTATGTCCCTGGCCTGGCGTGAGACAGAACTGAGTAGTCCTGGCTCCCACAGGGTCCCGGACCACTACACCTCTGCCTCTCCTGCCCATTCCCCCTGCACTGTGCAGTTGGTGCTGGCTCCTGCTCCCCCCACTTGCTGCCTCTGATACAGAGGCAGCAAGGGTGGGAGGAAGTAA